AGTCATATAAATTTATATGATAAATGACCAAAATGATCGGTCATTTCAAAATGAGCATGATCATTTTGCCGCAGTTGCATGAAGTTTACAGTTGGCAAAATGACTAGTCATATAATATTTTAAATAAATGACAATAAAAATGATTATAAAAAATGACTACATGTGATAAATTTTAAGATTAGATTTACACTTAAATGATTATCTCCGATCTGTTGAAAAAGTGATATATTTTAAAATATGCAACGATCTGCTTTTTTTTCACTTTCGCATAACGTTCTTCCAAACGTATAAAGCAAAATACTGTACTTCTATTGTCCCTCTTTACTTTTTGTGTATTTTGCGTAACAAATTACATTTTTGATGGGTCGAAAGCCTCATGTGTATACAAAGTATTTTAAAATATTACCGAAGCTTGCAAATGTAAGCAATAAAGCATGCATTTGTTTAGCTTGCTATAATACAAATCCTGATGGACCTCATAAAGAGTTAACGAATACTCCAAAACTTTGTAAAAATCATCTTAAAAAATGCCCATACTTTTTAAGTCAATATTCAAAGGAAGAATTAACGGTTATATTTTCAGATGCTAATGACGACAATGATGACCATTCAGAAATAGAAATTTCTGAACCAACTACAAAACGTGCCCGTATAGAAAAAAGTAAGTACTAATATTTTTTATATATAAGATTGTTTTATTTTATAAACTCTTCTTTTAATTGTTTATTTTTTTATTTAACAGAATCACAAACGAAAGTAACACAATTTGTATATTATCCCCTTTCTGAAACTACTCAACAACAATTTGAAAGGCATTTGGTACGTGGTACTGTGGCAACTGGTTCTTCTTTTAGATGGATTGAGGATGAGGATATTGTAGCGGCATTTAAACTTGCTAATCCAGCTGTTAAGTTACCATCACGACGAAAATTAGGTGGTTCAATTCTTAAAAGAGAAAGTACTCAAACAAAAGAACAAATTGAAAATATTGCAAAAGAAGATAAAATTGGTGTTACATTAGCTTTTGATGGTTGGAAAAATATCGTTAAACAAAAGCTAATGGGAACAATACTTATTACTTCACAAGGAAAAGCTTTAGTATGGAAGGCTGAAGATATAAGTGCTGAAAGGACTCGTGCAATTGAAATCAATGCATTTACGGAACGATATATTGAAGATCTTTTAGTTAAGCAAATAATTCCTCTTTGTGTGGTTTCTGATTCTGCCGGAGAAAATGTAAAATCAAGGTATACGCTATATAATAGTAATATATTTAGTAATGTATTTAGATATATTAGATTTGAAATAATAAGTTTAAAATAAAATCAGAATTATATAAACTTTATTATTATATCGTTTATTTAATTTTATAA